GGGTATCCTTCTTTCAGGCTTCGGCCAAGGGGGTCGATAGTCCCTCGGCCGGTAAGGAGTCCTACTTGATCGTCCTGTGATCTCAGGGAGGTCCCGTCGCCTATTTATGACGCGAGCTAAGGCATTTGGTCGGTTACCAACGGCTGCCGTTTCTCATCCCTGAGTTTGAGGATTTTTGTCACCTCGGCCATGATTTCAGACCTGTCGTCCTGCTGATTTCGCGGGTAGACGACGCGGTGAGCTTCCCATTTCAAAACGTGGGCTCTTTGCGGGCCCTTCGTCCTGGGGACGCCGTCGGCCTTTCCTAAGCATTTTAGCTATGAGGGGCCGAGACGGTGTGCTCTGTTGACCTTTCCTGAGCATTTTCGCTCTGAGGGGTCGGTGTAGTGTAGCATCATTTCCCTGAACTTTCCAGAAAAGTAAGAAAACAACTTTTATTGATAAGTGGCTTGAGGCCGAGGGTGGCGTTCGACCAACAATCCGTGGAAAGGTGAGGGCTTTGCCGGCTACGCCGTCCCCGAATTATTGATACAATTTCACCAAGTGATGTACATTCCACGTTCGTGGTACATTAGACTCATTCGGGTGTTTCAGTTTGTAGGTGCCGGGCTTGACTACGGCACTGACGATGTAGGGGCCTTCATATTTGAGTGCCAGCTTGCCACCTTCCGTCGACTTACTCGCCTCTCTTTGGCGAAGGACATAGTCCCCGACCTGGAATTCTCGGGAATGTACTTTGGCGTCATAGTATGATTTTACTTGACGCCGGTAGTTCTCGGCCCGGATGAAGGCCTGCTCTCGTCTTTCTTCGACCAGGTGGAGATCAATCTTCATGCTTTCCTCGTTGGCCTCAGGCTCATAACGCTCCACCTGTCGGCTGGGTATGATGACCTCTGTGGGCGCCTTTGCTTAAAAGTCATAGCAAAGGGCAAAGGGTGTTTCGCCCGTCGCCCTCCTCGGCGTAGTACGGTAGCACCACAGTATATTGGGGAGCTCATCGGCCCAACTGCCCCCTGCGTCCTGGAACTTCTTCTTCAGGCCTTCCAAGATGGTTCTGTTGGTGTTCTCAACTTGCCCATTACCTTGAGGATAGGCAACGAAGGAGAAACGATGTTTGATTCCCCACTCTTGGAGGAGATCTTAGAAGGGCGCGGCCTCGAACTGGGTGCCGTTATCGGATATGATCTCATGAGGAATGCCGAAGCGGGTCAGGATATTCTTGTGGACGAATTTCTGACACCTGGCCCCCATGATGTTGGCCAAAGGTTCCGCTTCGACCCACTTGGTGAAGTAGTAGACGACGATGATGATGTATCGGTTGTTACCAGCGGCTCTAGGCAGGGGCCCGACCAGGTCAATACCCCATCTTGAGAATGGGATTGCAGTGCTGACTGGGGCGTAGTTGACGGCTGGCCGACCAGGGGCCTTCTGAAGGACCTGGCATGCAGTACACTTCCTTGTTAGATCGGCACAATCCTGCGCCATCGTCGGCCAAAAATAGCCCTGGACGATGAGACGCCAGGACATGCTGAAGGGGCCCTGATGAGAGGAGCAGACGCCGCAGTGGACTTCCTCCATGGCCACTTCGGCCTCATCCGGGTGCAGGCATCGGAGGAGAGTGCCGTTGTAAGATCTTTTGTAAAGTTTCCCATCCTCGATGGTGTAGCTTGGGCCCTGAGTTTGGCTAGCTTGGCTCTCTCCTCATAATGGGGCAGTTCTCCCAAGCCGATGAAGGTCATGATGTCAGTGATTCAGTCCTCCGGCCGTTGTTGGATGCATATGACCGGGCTGGCGTGGATGCTGGACATGCTCAACTCTTTGACCTTGGCTATCTTGGAGATGTGCTCTGGAGTGTCTGTGCTGAGCTTGGAGAGGATGTCGGCCTCAGCATTCTCCACCCTTGGGATCAGGGTGATCTCATTTTCAAATGCTTTGAGCAACTCATCGGCCGCCTGTTTGTATTGCCTCATCCTCCCTTCTTTAGCCTCGTATGAGCCTGGAGTCGCACCTGATTCTGATTTGTCGTGCTTTAAGGCCGGTGGCGAGTCTGAGGCCGTTGAGGAGGGCCTCATACTCGGCTCCGTTGTTGGATACCCTGAAGTTGAAGCGGATGACATAGTAGGCTCTGAATCCTTAAGGGGAAATGAGGACGACGACGCCACCACAAGCTTTGGCGGCCGATGAACCGTCAGTAAAGAGAGTCCATGCTTCGTCTGGCTCTGGCCCGGGCGTGGTAGCGGCCGTCTCCCTGGCTGTGCACTCGGTGACGAAATCGACCAAGGCCTGCCCCTTGATGGATGGCCTCGGCTTAATCTTGATCTGGAACTGGCTGAGGAAGATCACCCACTTCACCATTCGTGAGGAACTGGTGGGGCTCCGCATGAGTGCGCCGAGGGGTTGCTGAGTTAAGACGTGGACGACATGGGCCTGAAAGTAGTGCTCTAGTTTTTTCACTGTATGGACGATGGCCAATACCATCTTCTCCATGGGGGAGTACTTGAGCTCGGCCTCCCGTAACGTCTTGCTTACGTAGAAAATTGCCTTCTGTACCCCCTCCTCCTCATGGATGAGCACGGAGCTGATGGCCGACGTGCTCACCCCTAAGTACAAGAAGAGGGTCTCACCGGCCTTGGGTTCGGAAAGCACCGGCGGGGACGATAAGTACCGCTTTAGTTCCTCAAATGCTTGCTGGCACTCCGTCGTCCATCTAAAGCCATTAGCCTTGCGCATGATCTGGAAGAAAGGGAGAGACCTTTCAGCCAATCTCGAGAAGAAACAGTTTAGGGCCGCAAGGCGTCCCGTCAGCCGTTGTACCTCCTTCACATTTCGTGGTGGTTCCATGTTGACAATGGCCTGTATCTTCTCCGGATTGATTTCAATGCCCCTTCGGCTGACCATGTAGCCGAGGAACTTGCCCCCTTGGACGCCGAAGGTGCACTTCTTCGGATGCAGGTGGAGCTGGAACTTCTTCATGATTTCAAAGATCTCCCGGAGGTCGTCGGCGTGGCTTGTGGATTTCTTTCTCTTGGCGATCATGTCGTCGACGTATGCCTCCATCGTCCGGCCGAGGACTGCTCTGAAGACCTTGGCTACCATTCTGGTGTATGTGGCGCCTGAGTTCTTGAGCCCAAAGGCCATGACGAGGTAGCAGAAAATTCCCTCCGGGGTCATGAAGGTCGTCTTCTCGGCATCATCCTCATGCATGAATATCTGGTGGTACCCCCTGAAGGCGTCAAGGAACGACATCAACTTGCACCCCTCCATCTCGTCCACCAATTGATCAATGTTGGGGAGAGGGAACGGGTCCATGGGGCATGCCTTGTTCAGGTCAGTGTAATCAACGCACATTCTGAACGTCGGCGGCTTCTGGGCGAGGACGACGTTGGCCAACCAGGTCGGGTACTTCACCTTTTTTATGTGGTTGAAAAGTAAGAGCACGTCTGATGAGGCTTTCTGGTCCGAACTCTGATGTCTGCCTTTGATGCCAACTCTGGTACCCAACTCTAGTAGCATCTCTGGAGATCAACTCTGGGAGCAACTCTGGTAGATGTTCTGATCAAGAAGACCAAGAGGGTTTCTGGCATGTCGACTATGCTAATACTTATAAAGAAATTTCTAATACAAAATTTCGATAGGGGTACTTTCAAATTCTAATTATCCTAGCATCATCAAAATCTAATTACATTTATTCCTTACAATTGATTTACTCAATATAATTAATTCCCCTTAGATTATTAATCATGAGACACATGCATTAATAATCCAAGTTTACTACCGTGGAAAGACTGAACGATTAACAAGCGTATTCGTCGATCGATTCTAGTAATAATTAATATATGAAACAAAACTAGTTCATCCTTTAAGTAATGTTCAAAATATTAGTATCAAATATGAATAGGAATTAATTAATATTCAAGGAAGAAGATTAAAGAAAATAAAAGCTATTATAATTAATGTCGAGATGTTAGCTAATTGTCATCTTAGCAACACTCCCCAACATTAATATAGAGAGAGATTAAAGGAAGAATTAATATTCAAGGAAGAAGATTAAAGAAAAATAACTCACAACTTACAAGACATTAAGCTTCAAAGTAGCAAAACCAAGATGGAAGAGTTTAGCTCCTCATTTGGAGACTAATCATGCTAAAAATATAAAGGAAATACTTAACAAAATTGAGCTTAGAAGTGTATAGGAATTGGTCATCAAATGGGAAGGAAAAGGGGTGTATTTATAGGTGTTTGGAGGTGGTAGGGTCATTTATCTGACCGGGTTTTTGATTTACCCGATCGGGTAAATAAGTAATTGCCCGGAATCTTCATTACTCACATCATAGCTGATCGGGTTTTTGATTTACCCGATCGTGTAAAAGACACATCTTTGCCAAATCTTCGCCCTGCACGTTTAATTGCCTCCAAATCAGATTTGATCTTCGGGTCAAGTCAAACCCGATCGGGTTTTTGCTTTACCCGACCGGGTTTTTGACTATTTTCCCAAATTTTCACCTTGTCTTGTTCCCTTGCACTTTCCTTGACCTTCCAAGGATCCTTTTGGTGATCTTTGCCTGGTTTAAGCTCAAAATAGTCCTAATCTAAACAAATTACAAACAACTAGGAAAAATAAAGTATTACACCAAAAGTGTGTAATTTCCCAAACAACAATACATAGAACTAGTTAAAATTACAAACATAAACAATAACAATTCTATACCATCATATATCTACACACACAACAATTGATATATATGTATGTGTGTGTGTGCAATGAGTTTGGGTGGGGGTTGAGTGGAGCCGCTGCCCCCGCCCCTACGGTAGATATGCTCTGATTATCATCTGATTTGTGCCTTTTTCAATAATGACTAAATCCATTGTGTTTGTGAAGACTTGCAAATTATTAATTAATTTTGTTTTGTTTATGTGCTATTTTTTTTATTTTAAATAGTCATCAATATAAGTCAGGTATTACAAGTCCAAACAAATATTTAAATCAAAAGGCCAAATCAAACAAAGATTGAACGTTGGAGGACTTGTTGAGTATAACACCTTCATATTTGTCCTGGAACCACTTCATTGCATCATCTTTAGTGACACGATGTTGGATTCCCTCACGGGCCTTGCACCTACGTCGACGTGCTACACGGAAGCCGGGTCGTTCCAAGACAACAAAGAAATCCATACCATAAATACCGGTTGAAGGGTCATACTTGATTCCAAGATCAATGTGCTCCCGAATACCAAATCCAAAGCACCCTGTATTGCTGAAGTTCTTACGAAGCAGCTCATATTCCTTCACCTTCAACCCACTCTCGAGGAGTTGCATTGCCTTGTCACCCCTGACTGTGACATAGCATGCAATCTTTTCATTACGTCTTATACCAAAGGACCTCACAGTATACCTGGCCTTTGAGAAAACTGGGGTCTGACCGCTGAGTTGCTCCAACACCTTCGCAGCTCTGGTGAGACGATCACCGCTCTCTCCAACGGAGATGTTCAGGACGAGCTTCTGGACCTTGATTTCCCTCATTGGGTTGATCAATTTCTTCTCTGATGCCATGGCGTTCGACGGAAGTGGTACGCATTTTGGGAGATTGCCGCGGCTGGAAGCACCTTTTGTTTATGTGCTAATGCTATAACATTACACCAAAAAGAACAGTTGAAAAAAACTATTATTTTGTTTGCAAGTAACTATATGTTAGTTGAGTTTAAATATATTAAATCCTACTTTATTAGTTCTATTTAATTTTGTTTGGATGAATATTTCCTCACATGGTTCTAGCGAGTCAGAGCGGGGATGAGGCGGAGAAAAATATAGTAGCGGGAATGGGGCAGGGGGTGAGGGGATTTTTGAGACACGAAGTGGGGGATGGGGAGTGAACCTCCGCCCCAACCCCGCCCCATTGCCATCCCTAGAAGTAATACTATGGTAAACTTGGAGGCCTTCCTAAAAGTGGGGGCCGTGTGCACTTACACTCACTGCACCTGATCCAGACCAGGATCAAAATTCATAATTTTTTATGATTTTTCATTTGACACCAATATTGCATATAAAAAAGTTAAAAGAATTGAAGTCTCAATTGAATGATGTTTTTAGAACTAAAAATTTTCTTAAGCAAATCCAAGCAGTGTTCTAAAAGGCGTTAGGCGTGATGAGGCAGCACACCCGAGCCTTAGGCCTTTGAAGCCTATGCGTGTTTAAGTGGGGCTTAGGTGCAAAAAGGTGTTTTAGTTTTTTACAAATTTGATATAAATTTCATAGATATATTAGTAAATATGTAAATGTAATATTATAAAATATCACCTTTATGCATCTAGTATATTAAAATATAATCCTATCTCATTTTCCAACAAAATAACCTTCTAAATTACTAAAAACAACACCTATTTTATGCATCTAGTATATAAAAAGTAAGAGCTGGTTAGTGATAATACTAACTATAGTAAAATTATTTGTAATAATCATTGTATAGTAATGATCTTATAATAATAGTAATAAGGATCACATAATAATTAATGATCTTATAATAATTATAATAACGATAATAAAATAACGATCTTATAATACTAATCGCAACTATGAATATAATAGTTTGTATATAATAATGTTCATATAATCTTAGTGATGGATCGACGACCTAGGGGTAGCCGAAATCCGAGTAAAAGAAAGAGAGAAGTTGATCGGAAAGCTCAAGTAAATATTTTAGCAGAGTAACAACAAGAGAATAGAAAATCGGATCACTTTCCACAAGCTGGAAGGTGATACTTATACAAAAGGGGAATACTTGGTGCCCAAGTAAAAAGATGTTAATCTAATGGGGAGAGGACGCATGTCCTGTCCATCTAACAAACTGAACAAACTGATTCAATGAGGCGCCGCCATATGTAAAGGTGATCGGAGAGATAACTGGGCGAGCTGACTAATTGAAACTGCTTCTGACAAATTATTACCAGAATACACGTGCGGGCTACACGTGTATTATCCGGGATATTCTTTCTATCCACCGCTAGGAGTGACGTGGCCTCCCTCAGAAGTAATGATGATGTGGCAGTAGCCTTGTGTGATATCTGCTCCCGCATATTTGTTCAAGTCCATGATGTTTAAGTCAGGCCCCGAGCTCCCTGAGGTTAGAGCTCGAATGCTCGCGCTCATCACTGGGGGGTACATCTTTGGTCTTTGGTCTGGTAATGTTGTTCCCTTCATCGACTTTGGTTGACCTTGCGTCCATGTCTGAGGTCAGAGTTGGTGTCGGGCTCGGTGTGTTTGAGACCGGCCTCATATATTGCCATGTCTGGGTGGTTCCCGAGCTCGATGTTTCTGCCGGCCTCGGTTGGTTGAGGTCGGCCTCGGTCGGTCTTCTGTCCTTTGTCAATTTGTTGTCCTAGGCCTGATCGCGACCTCGGCGACTCGAGGTTGGGGTTAGTACTCGTCGGGAGTTTGGTACTTTGTGTATTTCGGGATAGATCCGCAATGTATTTGCCAGTGATTATGATACCCTTGGGGTGGGTATATGAGAATATACTGCATCATTTAGTTCTTACAATTATGCATTTATTATACTCCCTCATTCCCAAATTGTAAGATACATTTACTATTCATTTGGTCAACATAAATCACTCTTAATCTTTTACTTTATATATCAAAAGTTTATGAAATTTGAATTATTTTTAACATGTTTTGTAGCGGTTTTAATGTAGTTTCTGAATATGTAAATTTTATTTTCTAAAACTAAATTGAGTGGTGACAGGGATCAATTTGTTTTATCGTCGGTCAAACATCATAAACCGTAAAGTATCTTACAAATTGGGACGGGGGAAGTATTCGATAGTAAATAATCTAAATATTATAATGCTTATAAAATGACGTACGTTTTTAAATTTATTTTAGAGCACCCGGTCTTAAAAGTATTGGTTGTAGCTTAGGTTGTTTTTACTTGGATTGTAATTCGTCCCAAACTGGATCAGACCAGACCAGACTAAAACAGACCAGACCAGACCAGAGCATACCATATTTTATTATTATTATTATTATTATTATTATTGTTGTTGTTGTTGTTGTTGTTGTTGTTGTTGGGATATTGGGCCGCAGGCCCGATATTCGGATCCAAGACCCAAGATATCTAGTCCGTTAGACAGGCCCATAAACCAGAAGATGAACAGGCTCATGGAAAAGTATGTACCGAACGAGGTTCGGATCAATTAACGTACTTGGGCCAGATCATTAATAGGCCAGATCAATGATGACTCCAGATCAATATACCAAATGAGGTTCGGTCTAATCAACGGACTTGGGCCAGCAGGGTCCATTACCCGTTCGGGTAACGGGTAGCCAACAAGTGGCAGGGAGCATTTATTACTAAAGTATGACGGCAGCTAGTGGGAGTATGGGTTTCCAAGTGGCTAGATAAAGCAGCCAATCAACATGAAGTACCCCATACCCCCCATTAGTATAAATAGAAGGATTATTTCATTGTAAAGGGTTAGCATTTTCATACTCAAGCTCTAGAATAGCATTATCCCTCTTGTTCTTGTATTAATCATTACTTCGACGTATCGATCGGGAGGTTTCCGTGTAATCAAGCAAGTTATTTAATACAAAGTGAGCTTTAGAGCAATCAATTACTCATCTTTTATATTTCTTTATACACTTGGTTCTGATCCATTTCCTGATATATCTAAAGTTCGTGTTGGGCTTTCAGATCTACGGGATAAAACCTCAACATTGGCGCCGTCTGTGGGAAACTAGAACAAAAAGTTTCAAACCAATCATTTATTCAAAACAATTACTTTCAAAATGATCAGAATCAGTTCTTACCACACCAACGATGTTTCGGGGCATCACGGGAGGAGCCGGACTCTGAGAGGCCAGACCCCTCAAGGGCAGTCCAGCCGAGGGAGTTACCCCAATTATGATGGGGATTTTTTCATCCCCGAAACATTAAGGAGGAACCCTCAGGCATTGCGAGATATGGCCCAAGTCATCCAGCATATGGCCGACGAAGAGGAAGGGGGACAATCCAATTATACGGGGGAGACTCCCCATACAGAAACAACTACGACATCAGCCACTCATGGGCCCATCGGGACGATCGGCGTAGGGATTACACAGCAGGGCACCATATTCCTAGTGATCATACCCCGATCGGGTCACGAGCCAGAGGACCCACTCCGGTTGGACGTCATTCCCAGCACGACGAACACGATGGCAATAGAGCCACGCGGAGGCACTGGGATCGGGAGTATGCAGATTTGAGAACTCCACGGCCACCCCCCTTAACGGCCCAGGAGGAAGAAATGGCCGAGATGAGGAGGCAGATGAACGAGATGAGGGATCAAATGAACAGAGTACGGTACAACCTACTCCGGTTCAGGTCGGGATCACTTCCCCCTTTACCCGGGAAATAATGTACGCTGAAATCCAGGGGGTGCCAAACCACCGACTAGTCAGATTTATGATGGGGTGGGAGATCCCCATGTCCATTTGAGGAGCTATCAAGGAGGACTTATGTTACTAGGAGCAACTGAAGCAGCCATTTGTCGACTGTTCTTCAGCACGCTCAGGGGGCCCGCTCAGGAATGGTTCAGGACCCTACAGCCTGGGTCGATCGGCAACTTTGCCGAACTATCAACTTTATTCTTGGCCCAATTTTCCTCCAGTGCCAATCCAAAATGGCACTTCAGCTGCCTGACCAGTGTTAAACAGGGACCAATAGAGCCCTTAAATCAATTTCTAAAAAGATGGAGGGATGAAACCCTAAAGGTTGGCAGCATGACCGAGGATACTGCAATCACGTTGTTTACCGATGCTCTCTGAACGGGGGAGTTATATAAAGATTTGAAAAAGAATCCAGGTACGACATACGCCGAAGTTCTAGATCGGGCCTGGAAGCATGCTGCCCTGGAAGAAGAAATCACGATCAGGGATAAGGTGATTACACCATCTGCCCCAATGAAGATGGCCGGTCGGCTGGGTCCCGTCCCAGCGGCCGCACCCCCTCCTAAGCAAGGACGATTCACCCCCTGGTCCTGTCCGTGGCGACCATTTATCAGAACGAGAAAGATAACATTCCCCTTCCGACTGATACCAAAAATTACATGGGAGCGGACGAGAATGTCTTTTGCAAGTATCACAACAGGAAGGGTCATTCTACCCATTCCTGTCGTGCATTACAAATAGCAATTGAACAACTAATCCAGCGAGGCCATCTGGACAAGTATGTGAATAAAGACCCGAATGCAATAGGCATTCTAAAACCGGTCAGGAGGTCCAACAGTTGGAGACGGGATTCTCAACGAGATGCCCAGCCTAGGAATGACGTGTATATTCCTCTTACGGATGAAGCAGAAGGTTCGGGGAACCTAGGGAAAAAACCCCGGAAGGAAGTAAAGGTTATTTTTGGGGGAGGAGAAACAGGGGATTCAAAGGCCGAACGGAAAAGGTTCGAACGGACCCTCTATGTGGGATCCATCTCCACTCCCCCAGAAGAAATGGAGGACAGACCCAATTACGTTCGGGCCGGCAGATTTGCCTAACTCACCAAGTCCGCACAGGGACGAGTTGGTGATAAGCATGTGCATCGACAATGCCTTGATCCGCCGGGTATTGATTGACAC